TCAGCTAATCCGATACGCTGGTTTGTTTACATTTAAAAAAAAAAAAATGAGACTGCAGCTTACTGTATCTATGCCCTCCTTCTCCAACTTGGCTTTTTCCAGGTAGTAGCTTTTCTCAGCCACGCTGAGTCGTTTCCAGCTCTCACTGATACGCTTGTTGATCTCAGACTGTGGCATATTAGAGACTCCGAGTTGCATAATCTGGTGAACATCAAAGTAGTATAGCAGATAGGCAGACCTAAGGCAGACAACACATTCCAAGTCTACAATTAGAACATGACATTTTTAAGACATCTTTAATGCCTTTGAAGCTCAGCCAGTGATGAACGAAGGGTTGAAAACCATTTTATTCATGTTACCTAGGCTTCTTAGGTTTCTCCACACTGTCATCTTGAGGTTTGCTCTTCCTCTTTTTAAAGGATGTGACCTCCATTTGGCTGTAGGCACTCTCCACCTCTTCTGTCACTTTAACAACCTCAAAAAGCTCCACTTTGTCCATGTTTCCAAAGATCTAGGACAAAAATGACACACAGCAGGGGATCCATGTTTGAACTGTCAAGAAGATGGAATTTATTGCAGGGGTGTTGTGTCAAAGCGTACCCATCTCCACTTCACTTCAAAAAGGGAAGCACCAAAAATAGAAGCATTTAGGCTTTATTTAACCAAGTAAAAGTCTCAGGGAGAATAAAGATCTCTTATTCGGTAGTTAACTTGCCAAGAGAGCAATAAAATAGTTGTAAATAAAAACACAAACGGTAAGAACAGACAAAAACACACATTAGACGAGTAAATACAATATCTCGTTCACATGCAGTAAATTCTAAAGCTCAAATTGGAAACAACTTGCAAATTTGTTTTTATGAAATTCCATGTTTGGACATCTTAGCTATTTCATGCCTAATAACACAATAACATGCAACTAAGGCACAAATCATTAGCGGGCACAATGTTTGAACAGTATGACAAGGGTGATTTTACATAGTAACTGCAGTGCTTTTGACATAAAGTTTATTTAACCTCCTTTCCTCGGATGATGAGAGGCAAGCAGAGGTGCTCATAAAGGCTATAACTAATGAAAAATAATACTAATAAAAGTACTGGAGTGTGACTAAAGGTTATTATTTGAATATATCGCTGCAAAAATGCCATGCACTTTTATCCACATTGCTCAGGGAGAGAGATACTAAACCAAACAAACATGTAAAAACCACCGCTCCTTCCTCGTTTTAAAGGTAGGTTTAATGGCGTGTGTTAATACTGCCCGCACGGTCAGTCAGTTATCCAATGAAATGCCTTCTTATTGAAGTCTTACCTACGACGGCCCAAGGTACTACAAACTACTCTGAACAACGTTTAGAAGTCGCCGAAAATGTCCATGCATTGTGTTACTATGCTAAGTAATGCTACGTGTTGCCTGTTCTTTACATTAGATAAAGAATTTCACGACGCCAGTAAAGGCGTAAAGTAGCCTCGTTGCTAGTCGTCTCATGAAAAAAGATGGCGGTTTGTTGCCATTGTCATTAACCAATCACATGCCAGAATGTATACATTAAACCAATCACGTAAGACGTTTTTGCCACGTGAAAGTGCAGTGTGCGTCCTACGGAGTAGTGCTTGTGGACACAAGCAAGCGCAATTGTTTTCCGGTTAAATGCCTCTAGAGGGGCTACAGTAGAATAACAGGGTAGAGAGTGGCTTTGAGTGGGATACATAAATCGGACGCATTTAAAAATTAAATATTCCCCATAAATCCCAAAGCCAAAGAAATGCATTTGAAAAGTTTAAATGACGTGCATCCTGACAATGATTTTCATAACTTTGCACGACAGCGATATGGAAGGGAAACTCCAAACTTTTTCTAACCGTACTTTCTCATACGCCTGCCAACAGCACCAAATTTCCATTTGTATAACTAACGTATTGCAAAGCATTGATTTCCAGGCTATACCAATCGAGCGAAAATCGAGCGGACAAACAGCTGCAGCACAGACTTATGAGCCGAATGCCGATTAACGCACCGAGCAAAAATGGCGGATGACAAGGTTAGTGAGAGTGTGGTCAGGCTTAATATGTTTATGTTGTGCGCTTCATCGTATGTTAGCGACTGCTAGGACAATAAAATATATTTTTCTGTTAACAGCGTTTATTTTGGCGTTTATTTTAACAGGGTAGGGATCACTTTTACATGAAATTGTTCGGCTTTAGTAGTACCGCTTGTAGCTGTGATAACTTCGACAGAAGTGTGGAGTTTGTTGGAAAAAAACAGATGTGCTCTTCGTAAAACCGCTGTAGACAAGTTTAGGCTGTCACCTGTCCTCGGGTAGATTAATTTCGAACTATCATATCATTTCTAATGGGAATTTGATTAACTGCTTTTATTACAGGATCCTCTGAAACAGTTAAGAGATCTAACACAGCTCAAAAATCAGCTGGATGAGATCCAGAGGCGAGTAGAGCACGAAGTATCTGCAGGAATTCCCCAGGTAAGTTATACAGGTGTCCCAGATAAGTGGTCAGTACCTTGAAGCACGTTCTCATTTTCTAATCTTGCTGTAGGAATATACAGTCGGTGGCCACTTTATAAGGTATATGATGCTATTACCGAGTTGGATCTTTTCTGTCTCCATTCTTTATGGCACAGATTAAACAAGCTACTGGAAACATTACTGACAGCTTTTTTTTTTTTCCCCATCTTGACATGTAAGCATCAGATTTGTTGATCAAATGTCACACCACGTCCCAAAGGTGCTCTATTCCATTGAGATCAGCTGACATTTAAGTGGCATGAACATATTGTGGCTTTCAAAAAACCAGTTTGACATGATTTGAGCTTTGTGACATCAGGTTTGAGATACTTTGTCTACCTGTAGGTAGATTTTGTCTGTAATAAGTCATCCATTCCCCACATTTTCATCAGAGACACAACAGATAAGTATAGTTCAAAATACCGAAAACAAAACTGACAATAATTTTGAGAACAAACAGCTTGTCGGACTGGGGGAACCCAAATAGGTGAGAACCGAAAGGAGCGTGTATAGAGGCGTGGTCCCGCTTCTGAAATTCCGATACTTAATCTCCAAGACAAGCTCACCTAGCACCAACAATCATGCCACATTCAAAGTTACTTAAAATCACCTTTCTTCCTTACGCTGATGCTCTGTTTGAACTTCATATATTTGTGTTCATGAGCAGTTGAGTGGGTATACCTAATAAAGTGACCGGAGAGTGTATATGATTGTAAATGTAAAGCATTTCCGTTAGCAGTTGTATTACGACCAGAGATGGGCAGTAACGCGTTACTTGTAACGCGTTACTGTAATCTGATTACTTTTTTCGAGTAACGAGTAAAGTAAGGGATTACTATTGCAAAAACGGTAATTAGATTACCGTTACTTTCCCGTAGGAACACTGCGTTACTGCGTTACTAAAACCGTGATTTCTTTGCGAGAATGTCTCACGACAGTGACGTAAGCGAGTGCGCCGTTAGTGACAACAGCTGTGTGCAGATCAACAATGGATCATATATCGACTTGTGGGAGAGAGTATGAGCGTGCAGCGTTTAAAGCGTGGAAGTACTGACCTTACTTTGAGTTTGATTCCATAAAAAGTGACAAAAACATTAGGTCCGTTGTGCGTGGGAAGAAAACTTCTTTTTACAGCGAAAAAAACCCCTAAACTTCCAAGCAAGCACCGAGTGCGCAACGACGTAATGGGAAATCACAGAGAAACTCGCGGATTCTTCAACTGACCGCGGCACACCTGCACCAGGGTAAACCTCCGCCTACCGCAGTCCTGCTTTACAGGTGAAAATAGAGCAACAGGACCGCTGAGTCTTTGACTTTATTTATTTTCTGCTGTGTTTTACTTGCATCTATTTGAAAGAGTGAGTGTAAACACAAAAAATATTTTATTTTATGTGCTGGAATGTGCAGAAAATAGGTTTAAATGTTAAACTAATTTATTCAACTCAGAGAATGTTGCATATAATTAAATTTTTGCTTGATGCATAAAGTTAAAAGATTAAAACTGATAAAACAAGTTAAAAAAGAGATTTTTTCCATTTGATTACATTTTGTATGATGGATTATGTAGAAAAAGTAGAATTGGGCTGAAAGATCTATCACTTTATCACCTCTTCAGGTTGTAAATCGTGTTTTTAAAAAGTAACTAAGTAACTAAGTAATTACTTATTTTCAAAAAAAACCCCTAAACTTCCAAGCAAGCACCGAGTGCGCAACGACGTAATGAGAAATTCACAGAGAAAGTCGCACGCAAGCAAGCACTCGGTGCTTGCTTGGAAGTTTAGGGGTTTTTTTTTGAAAATAGGTAATCAGTAAAGTAATGGGCTTACTTTTTTGGGAAGTAATCAGTAATTAGTTACTGATTACTTTTTTCAAGTAACTTGACCAACACTGATTACGACTGATGAATAAAAGTGAATACTGGTCACTCATTCAGACTAACGGAAGCTAAATTGTGATTGTGGTCTATGCAGAATATATATTTACCCTTAATGAAATATCTTCATTTGTGTATATTGTTTTGCCTTGTAGGGTGGTTCGGTGTTGGGATCGCCATTTTTGAAAGGCTTTTTGGCCGGTTATGTGGTGGCCAGACTACGTTCATCTGCCTTCCTGGGAGTACTGCTGGGAACAGTCACTGGCATGTATGCAGCGCAGAATTATCAAGTGCCCAACATTGAAAGGACCTTTAAGGAGTACATGAACAACTTGAAGAAAGGACCAAAGTAATCTGGGATGACTGTTTGTCTTTCCAGTGACTTTACAGAAGTACTACTCTTGGAGCTCCCGGCTCGTGATAGATCAGGACTTTTGCGTAGACTGGATTATGGATGTAAACATTTAACTCAAATTTTACTGGGGACTGAATTCTTGCTTCTTCTTTTTTTTCTTGCATTTTTGTTGTGAGGGAAGTTACATGCTACTGTTCCACTTGCATCTGTCCAATGTTAACCCTGACCTTGAGCCTTTAGATTTCATGACCTGTCTTAGTTTTGTTCCAGCTGTTTACACCTGTCAGATTTTGAAGTAGTCATATAAAAAAAAATTGAAAATATTTCCTACATCATTATTGTTCAGCTAAAACACGTAGCTACATAGAGAAATATCTATCTATTGTGCAATTACCATTTAAATGGCTGTAATTTGTTGCTTGTCATTTCAAAGTAACCTTAAGTGGGGGGGGTTGATGCACTTTAGCAAAGCTTGAGGTTCAGATTGTTGGAAAATAAGTATTTATTGTGTGTCATCGATTATGATTGTGATTGATAATGTGGGGCCCAGTCCCCCAGCAAGGATTAAGAGGCAGTTGGTGAAAAGAATTAGGTGGGGGTTTCTCCTGGGGCTTATGGTTCTCATCTATGGTTCTCATGCACCACTCATCACTCTCACTAAGGTAGATGGTAAAGTCCCTTTTAACTCTTCCTCATGTGTTGTAATGATTGAGTTAGCTAAACTGCTCATCTCTCTGATGACTCTTGTTCTCACTGGTGGTACATCAAACTTGTGTGCTTTTCCACGCCTTGCCTTCGTGGCCCCCTATGCAGTCCCTGCTATACTTTACGCCCTCAACAACAACCTGGTTGTTCTGATGCAGGCCTACATGGACCCAAGTTCATTCCAGGTACTGTCAAATCTTAAAATTGCCTCCACTGCCCTGCTTTACTCCCTCTGTTTGGGCAAGAGGTTCCGGCCTGCTCAGTGGTTAGGCCTGGGGCTCCTCATGTTTGCAGGCGTGTTCCACAGTTACAGTAACCTGGATTTGGAGGAACCTGAAAAGGGTGAAGCTGAGGAAGTTGAAAGGCTTCATATCACAGCCTGGGGGCTTTTCCTTGTGCTGGTGTACTGCTGTGTTTCAGGGCTGGCAGCAGTTTACACAGAGGGGATACTGAAGAGCCAGCAGCTTCCCCTGAGCCTACAGAACCTCTACCTCTATATATTTGGTGTGGTAATCAATGGACTGTCATCTTTTTCCTCTGCGGCAAGTGACAAAGGCTTTCTGGAAGGCTACTCGTGGGTGGTTTGGGTCATCATAGCAGGACAAGCAGCAAATGGACTCCTGATGTCTGTGGTTCTCAAACATGGCAGTGGGATCACCAGACTGTTTGTCATTTCCTGCTCCATGCTGGTTAATGCTCTGTTGTCTTGGTCCACCTTAGGTTTGCAGCTGACTGCTTTATTCCCAGTACCCGTTGCTATGATTGGATTGGCAGCTTACCTTTACTACAGATAGTGCAGTCTTTAATAAAAGAACCACCAGCACAGTTTGACCCCACAAAAGCTCTCAGTGGAAGCTACCTAAACTTTTGTTTTTTAGGGTTTTTTATTGCCTTATCTTCCACCTGAAACTTGAAACTCTTCTTTTTTTATTTGGATTCAACACGTGTTTGTGACCATATTACTCATACCTGTTAAGTCATGTTACCTAATTTGACTTTACGATTGTGTTACACTGCAGTAAATTCAGATCAAACAGTAAACAAATGTTATATGGAGTGAATTATTTCCGATGACTGCTGCTATTTTTTTCATTTTTTTATCACCTTCTCTGCCAAGAACAACATCAGAGATAAAGTGTTATGCAGTGTTTTAATAACCAATAAACTGTCAAAAAATAGTTTTTTTTATTTGACATTTATTTCTCATGATTTACAGTCCGCACACTGCTGCATAAAGACATTCAAGTCACACATTCAGTGTTGACGGGGGATCAGCCACGGGATCACCTTGTGCAGCTAGCATATCCTTCAGTTCTCCTGCTGCTGTTTAAATAAAAAAAACATTTTTTTTAAGCATTTAGTTATACAACCACACATCTAGCAAAGGTTACATAATTTCAAACTGACATTTACGGAGTTGCTTATTCTCTGCCTGCAGCTGCTGGTTCTGTGCAGACAAGTAGATGGCATCCTGCACCGCTTCCAGCAGCACACTTCTGTATCTGCCCTCTGAAATCTTTCTCTGCTCTTCGCCTACCTGACGAAACACTCTGAACACCTAGGGAGATAACAGCAGGGGGGCAATGTAGAAAGGATATCATTTAGTAAAGCTTTATACAAGTATTTTGATGAAGCAGCTAACAAAGTAATTTTATATAGAGCATAGTCTTCTCTTTAAAGTCAAAACTGGTATTTGCTTACTATGATCAATATCAAACTGTGGTCTTGTAAGCTGCCTTACAAGCTGTTAACTTCAAAAGCTCATCTTCTGAGTATGTGTGGCTTTCTTTCTGTGGATTTCTCTGTAGGAATAACCTACTCTTTTAAATGTCACGATGGTCTGTCTCTCTTGCATTCTTAATTGCCATGTTTATAGCAACACACCGCTTAGATCTAGGCGAAATGCTTAGTAATTTTAATGTAAGTCTGAAGTACTAAGAGCAGGAAAAGATGCAAAATATGAACTTTATATACGTGACTCCTCCCTCATACAGCTGAATCAGCAAATATCATCACTCGGGGGGGGATGTGTCAGCGCTGCATTATCCATCATCAGAGCATTACGGTCTATGGCAGTGCTTCCAAATATAAATATGTGATGTTTACTGTACATAAATCCTAATGGATACAGGAATATAGTAATCAACCATACAAGGATACATATTTTTAATAAAGTTATACAGTAAATTTAATTGCTGTTAATTTGATTAACTTTCCATAAAACGTTTTCAGGCAAGTTCATACGCATGTTTACAATAACTTGTCATCACTATGTGTTGTCATGCCCTGTGATGACCTGGCTGCCTGTCCTGAGTGTATCCCCCACCTTTCATCAAAAGTTAGCTAACAGGCGCTAGGATATAGATACTGTCTTTTGAGCTCAAGGGAAATCTTGTATTTGATAGCTCAGCTACTATAAAACTTGTTGCACATTTTTAAATCAAAGAGTTAAATGTCAGCTTGTGTTTTACGCAATTGTAGTTATTGAGAAGAACAATATTTACATGCATAGCTACGACCTCTCTTAAATAATCTGGAAATCCAGACGAATTGATGACAGCTAAAAATTTACACATGGCATTGATTTCCAAGACTGAGTCACAAATTCTGATCGTCCTTATGAAGATAGAAATGTAACTTTGGTGTTTTTAATTTCAGAGGCAGTTCGGGCAGACATGAGTTTGTTGAAAGTAACAAACTGATTAAATGTGAATAAGTCCTGTTATTTGAATCATGGTTATTTCTCCCACCTGCAGGCTCTCCTCCCTGAGACAGTGCAGCTCTGCTCGGTGTCTGTCATATTGATCCTGTAGGTCTTTTTCAGCTTGCTGGGCCTCGGCACGCAAGGCCTCTATCTGCAGTACTAGGACCTGTCTCTCTCTGGTCAGTACCAGCAAGTCCCTCTGAGGACCTTCTTTCTAATACAGGAATGCACAAACCATAAAATTATTCAAGAAAATAACATAATTATACAGTGAATTCCACTGCCTGCCATAAATCCAGCCGTGCATTAATTCAAACTGACTCAGCAACCTCAGCTAAGATGGATCACAAACAGAATAGTGTTAGTGTATCTCATTATCTCACCGGTAGGTTTTCCTGTGCCAAGTCTCTCTCCATCTTCTCCACCTCCTGCTGAATTAATCTCCCATGATCCTCCTTAAGTTGCCTCCTCCGTTCCTCTGCTTTGTTGTATTCCAACTGAGACTAATCATTAAATTGGCAAAACAAATGCCGTTGTGTGGGCTGCCCACTCTTGTGCACATAAATAATTTTTAGATGGTGAAAAGATTATTGATTCAGCCTTGCTACTGCATTATCCAACCACATGCATGGTTTTGGAAAATGCCCAAACCCCTTTTGTTCTTGCACATTTTAACATGTTGTCGGAAAACCAAATCTGGACGTCAAGTTAAAACCTAGAAGTCCAAGAAATTCACTGTAGACTTGCGTCGATCAGGGCAGGAGTGTTGAACATCTTCCAACATTTCAACTGTTACCAGGAGCCAAATTGAAGTGGAAGCTTAAAACTTCGATGAGTTGGTGTTTCAACCGAAGTGAGCTGAAGGTCAGCATTACTCCAACATCATGCCTATAGAGAGGCTAGATGGAAGCTGGTCGTGCATAAAAGACAAACACCTACTTGCTTGGAGCTCACTGAAAGGGCTAAGTTCAGATGTTTCAAAAAAAAGAGTAACACTGCTCATCTCATCCCCAAGGAAAAGCATTTCAGTGGCAGAATCGTGCTATGCATATGCTTCACTGCAGCATATGTGGGACTATATTCCCCATCTACATCATAGGGTATTCAAGTAGTGAAAGGGTCTGAGTATTTTCTAAATGATCTGTAATAAATTAGTTTGTAATGCCAGATGATGTGCTTTACTTGTTGACAGGCAGGGGAATTCCCAGTAGCAGCTCCACTCTTAAGTGTCTCCTCCCTGAGAGCCTCCTTCAGCTGCTGGATTCTCGCTACTCTCTCCTGGACCTTTTCTGCATTCTCTTTACCTTCTGGGAATATGAGAAACAAACAGAATACGCCGGCTGTGGTTAGCCATATGGAACCGTGACTTTTGAATCTGAGTATTTTACCTGTAATATGTTCTTCCATTTCCTGCCTCAGCTGGTCCTGTAGACATTTCATTGTATCTGTACCCTGCCTGCTGTTGGGGTGATGATCTCCAGAAAACAGCAGATTGCTATTTGAGGTCTTGCAAGTCTGCCAAGTAATATAAAACATGGAGCTCATTTTATTGTGTTGAAGACACTTTGTGTTCTAGTTTTTGCTACACTTGTGAATAAATGTAATAATTCGGATATAAACCTTTATTTTGACTTTTATCTTTTCTGATTCTTCCCGTCTCTTCTCCCATGATTGCTTTTTCACCATCTGTTGTGGTGATCACAGCACAGACTCAAACTCATTATTTGGGAAGCATTATTTTCCATGAGGCTGATTTTATGAATTACCTGCAGGTTTTGCGTGAGCTCGGCCAGCTCGTAGATGCTGTGAACTTCACTGTCCCCTTGTGACATTATCGCGCTTCTTAGATCAGTGATGCTGTCACGAATCTTTTGCTCAGTTGCCCTTGGACTCCAGCAACCAGTGGTGGGCTTAGTTGCAAAACCTCTCACTTTCTGGGCCAGATTTAAAGCAGAAGGTGTCTCGTTATCTAGAAGACCTGAAAGAAGGAGGGTTATTTTTGTTTTGTAAATCACACATGCATATTTATTTCTTTGTATGTTGATGTGGTGTAGCTCAGTACCTTGAGGGTTAATGCAGTAAATGACGACAGTCCTGCTATTTCCTTTTAAGGCATCATTAAGCAAATGAGGCAGGAGGCTCACACTGATATTAGCAGCAGGATTTGGGATTTGGTCCAGGACCTTCAGCAGTGGGTTCACTCTGAAAATATATATCAAATATCACAAAGTGGATATGCTATCCAACCATCCAGTTATTTATTTATTTATTTATTTGCCATTAATCTGGGTTCAGGTCCCAAAGATGCCCAGACCTCCCTCTCCCCATCCACTTCCTCCACTTCCTTCAGGGGAACACCAACACATTCCCAAGCCAGCTGAGACACATAATGGGCCTGGATCTGGGTCTTCTCCTGGTAGGACATGCCTGAAACACCTCATTCAGAAGGGATCCTAGTCAGAAACCTAAACAACCTTAGCTGGCTCTTTTTAATATGAAGGATTAGCAGCTCTACTCGGAGCTCTTCACCCTGTCTCTAAGATATCAGGACATAATATAATATAGTAATAGCACATAATATCATATCAGAAATTAATCTGGGTATAAAATCAATACATAAAGATATCTAGGCCTTTACAGGTCTTTTAAAATGAGGTAAAAACAACTTGAGCTGAATTACAACACATGACAAATTACATCGTATTATTATTATTTTATCAAAAAACTAAGGCAAAATGCAAAGGAAGTATCTGAAAAACTAAGTACACCATCCACCCATCTTCATGTTGCAGGGGGAGAAGACTTAGCAGAGAAGCCCACACCTCCCTCTCCCCAGCTTATCTGAAAGAACACTGAGCCAACAGAGAGACATCATCTCTCTGGCATGTCCTGGTCTGCCCCGGGGCCTTCCCCTGGTAGGACATGCCTGAAGCATCTCACCTGGGAGGCATCCAGGAGGCCTCTTAGTCAGATACCTGACTAACCTCAGCCAGCTCTCTTTGATGTGGAGGAGTAGCGGCTCTACTCTGAGCCCCTCCCAAATGACTGAACTCTGCACCTTACCTCTAAGGGAGAGAGCAGCCATGCTAAAAGCCAATTCCAAATGACCTGCTGAGATCGAAAAGGCGGTTTGTGTTGTGTTCATGCTCTAGCACACCGACATAAGAAACCATGCTGTAAAATGTAGAATTAATAATTTTTAGCTTGAATAAAGCTTCTACTCATAAAGAGAACTGATATCAAAAAATTACATTTCTGAGGCAAATGCTGTCCTCCCTGTTGATCTGACCTAATTAACAGGACCATATAACTGCAGACATTTTTGACTCATCGCAGCCAGAAAAGTACAGGTTTTACTAATGAGGTGAAGGCTGCAAGATACTTCAGGCAATCACTCTAGTGTACTGCGGCACTCGCATTGGCATACTCCCCTCACATACCCAACACCCTTTTAATCATGCTGGTATAAGCTGTCAGTTCCCTGCTCATTCTTTCACTGCCTGCCTGTGAACACTGCTTTCCCCAAAAGCTATGCCGCTACTTCCTTCCATTGTTACTGAACATATTTCAAAAGGCCATCCCCCACCCCAGCATCTACCTGTAGGCTCTGAGTCAAATTCACTCCCTGTTGAGTTGGATATGTTTTCTTGTAGAGATGAAGATCTGAAGCTGGTTTGCTGAGTGAAATAACATTAGTGTCATATAGATTTTTGTTTGCAATGATGATGGACAGGCTGACAGATGAGGTCAGGCAGGAGTGTCCTTGGACTATAGTGTTTGTAGGCAACATTGTGGTCTTTAGTGAGAGTAGAGAGCACGCTGGATGAGGTAGGGTTAGAAGCAAGACAGAATACATGTGTGTGAATAAGAGGGACACCGGTGGAAAGGTGAAGCTGTAAGGAGCAGAGGTGGTGAAAGCAGATGAGTTAAAAAAATTAATAAAAAAACTTGGTTTGTTTCAACCATCCAAAGAGGTGAAGAAGAGGCAAGTGGAGTGAGCGGAGACAAGGTTCAGGGGTGGTAAAGAAGTGAAAGGGAAGGTTTACAAGATGGTAATGAGACCTGCTGTGATGTATGGTTTGGAGGTGCTGGCACTGACATAAAAAAGACAGGAAACAGAGGTTTAGAGTCTCAGATTTTCAATAGAAGTGACCAGAACGGACAGGATTAGAAATGAGAACATCAGAGGGACAGCTCAGGTTGAGTGGTTTGGAGACAAAGTTAATGAGGCAAGGCTGAGAGGGTTTCAATATGTGCAGAGGAGGGATTCTGCATAAATTGGACAAAGGATGTTGAACATTGAGCTCCCAGATGGGAGGGAAAGAGGAAGACCTTAGATAAGATTACAATCCAAGGGATAGTGTGAGACGGGGGGCAGATGATACACTTTGGCTACCTTAAAGTTGTTTATAGGACAGATATAGAATCACTTTTGACTGGTGTAGATTTGGCCCCAACATCACTCTATTACAAAAACACCTACTCAGAAAGTCACAAGAGGTACATTCCTCAACTACAAGAATCCATCAAGAAAAGCAGTTGTTCCTACAAGAGGATTTTGTTCAGGAATAGCAATATATACTACTTATCTCCTATAATCTATGCCTACAGCCAGAGGTAAAATAAATAAATAAATAAATAAATATAGCACATCTCCCTCCAGATGATGACCACAATCAGAATAATGCTTTATCAGTTTGTGGTAGATCATTTCAAGTTCCACTTGCCCATGTAATAGAGATCTCACTGGCTATGTCACTGACCCTCTGAGGTCAGTCCTACTGGCTCCTCCTGCCAGGCTGAACAGCTGAAATCTGCTGCGGCAGACATCTGACTCCACCTCCTCTGGATGGAGTTTCCACTCAACAGTCACCATGAACAGGGAGCTACATCTGAGAGAAACACAGCATAAACATTTGACAAGTTCATATGGAAATTTATGAAAAAAAGGGTAAGCTGACTGACACCGTGCAGAACAACTCAATCATAAAAGCCAGAAGTAAATTTTTTATCGCTCAGGCACTTGGATTTATTGCAATTAACCAATTTAATGAATGGATCCAAAGTGATTTTGTAAATGGATTAGAGTTCATAAAAGTTGTGCTTTGTATGACCTACCGGCTGGAAATGGAGCCTGTGTTCGCCTTCAGTGTTTCCCTGCATGTTTCGTACAGGTTATAAGCTTCTTCAGCTGAACGCACACACACCTCACATAATCCTCCTATGAGACTGAGAGAGAAAAGCAGGCATGATCATATATAATACAGCTTCAGTGTGTATATGTTTTATATGAAGTCTTTTTTATCATTAAAATGCAAAATTGTGACACACCTTCCAAGCGCTGGATGTGTTACAGGTTGTAGAGTCTGTCTGTTGAGGCTCAAGAGATCCACTGCACTGCCGTCTGGATAAAACTGACATTGAAAAACATTAGCTGTCATCATGTGTTTTATTGCATCTATTATCATTTGGGGCTCTGCTACTGAATACAAGGACAAACCTGAAGGGATGACACAGAGATGAATAACTCGCCTTTCACTCTTGACTCCATACAGCTGAACAGGTTAGCCACGACCTACAAGCGAATCAAGGGTATGATTGAAAATATAAACACATAAAATCTGCAAGTATTAAATGCAGTTTTGTTTAGAGCTCCACCTGTCTGATGACACTGCTGTCAATAAGAGCTCTCGTCGTCTCTGTGGAGGCTCCACATATCAGCAGTGCTCCGTTACACCCACTGGACATGTACTCGGTGAGAGGCTGCAGGAGCTCAGGGTGAAAACTCTGCAGATTTACACTCAAGTCTTTCAGTTTCCAGCCATCAAAATATCAGGTAGTGAAAATATGTGCAGTGGAGCAGAAAAAGGTTAAAATAAGAGGTCAGGAGCTGTTTTGTACCTTTATGCTGTCAACAGTCACGACTTGGTCGAAAGAGAAGGCCTTGGCTGCCTGTTTGAAAGAATGTAAGCAATCTTGAAAGCAAATTAACAAATACTTTCTGAAGCATGTGTGTGAAGTCAAATGACTTACCTCATTATTTGATGATTTGTAGTAAACACTATGTCCTTCTTCATCAATAACAACAGATTCTTTACTCTCTGTGCATTCAAAACCGAGTTACAGTCATTCTCCAGTGACAGTATAGCAAATATTCAGGTATACTCTCACTGTCCCAGCCTTACCTGGTTTTGTTGTAAGTACAACTCCCACTCTCACTGCGTCAGCTCCCTAAAACATTAAAGATCAATGACAGAGACTCCAACAAGAGTGTCTTTAAATTCTGCATTATTCTGATGTAAATATACCCCTGCTTTAAAAAGATGCTATTTATATACTGTGTAGAATATGAATACTCACAGGTGCATCCATGTTAACAGTGGCCATCCTGCGTCTGACAGCCACTGGCGCACCTGGATTTCATTTCAGATGGATGAATTATTAATGATCCAGAGGCTACTTCCACTGGTGAAAGTGAGCAGGGTTCTGTTACCAAGACGGACAGAGCGGTCAGAAATGGGGTCACTGATCAGCAGTACTATCCTTTTAAGCAGGGAAACATAAAATTTTTCTGCTATTGCCCTTTTTATGAGAAGGCACACTTTATACAAGGGTTGTACGTTAAATAATGGCTATACAATGGTTATACCATGGTTAATTATTAATTGCAAGAACATGCTGCTTGTGTTTTACTGACTTAACCTTGTAAGAAACATAAGGGTGATAGCCATTATTTATTTGAAAATATTGCATTTTATATATATATTATATATTATTATATTAGATATATTATATATATATAATGTTATATATATATGTATTATATATATATAATATATATTATAATTATATATATATAAAGATAATTGTTTAACTTAATTTAACTTATATTTCTCTGTGTGTGTTCCAGGAGGACAACTTCACCATTAGTGGTTTCTCTTATATAATACAAAAGACGAGACAGTGAGCACAATGGGGGGGACACTGGTATTATGGTTAGCACTGTTGCCTCATAGCAAGAAGGCTCCTGGTCTGGACTCCATCTGGGGCCTTACTGTGGAGTTTCCCCATGCATTCTGGCTTCCTCCCAAAGACATTCACTTAATAATTTAAGAATCAATTGGGAGAGCAAAAAAGATCCACAAACTCTTTTAATAAATAGTTAATAAGTTGTCAATAGACTTCTCCTCTACTCTGGATGGATTCAAAAGACTTCCTCACAGCCCTGAAACTTTTTGTTATAGATTATTATTATTATGAAACCTCTAATTAGACTCTTTATAAAAGTTGAAAGTAGAACCCAACAAAGATGGATGCTGTAAATGTGGGCAAAAATAAATAGTGTCAAAAATCAAGTGTGATGTTGCATCCCGCTGCTCGGCTTCACATGCTTCAAGACACAAATTCATTATCAGAGTCTCCCGCTGGGCTGCTGGTGTGTCGCATACAAGTTCTCAGGCAAGTCCTCCACTACACACTTGTCTGTGTTATCCAGGAAGATGATGGCATCCCACTAATGGGGCTACTGCTGGCATAAAGAATATCATTCTGCTCCATCATTCTGCTTACACTTTGTGGGTTTCACGACTAAACTTAAAGCAAATCTTATCCTTGCTTAAAAAGCAAACTGAAGTGGCTGCTCTTAAAGTGGTAATGAGCCTCAAATGAAACGGATGACTCAGTGAGTCAGCAGAAGATAAAAAGTATCAGATCTAGAGAAGATAATATGTCATGGTTTCAGCGTTTAAATTTACGGCTTCAAATACAACAAAAAATGTTTTAATAAAGGAAAAGAATTCCTGTTAATATTAAAAAAGGAACTGGAACTAAGAGAAACTTTAATCTCAGAGAATCCTCACATAAAATTTCATTATAATACGTGTTTGCTTTATTTGAGAGTTTGAAATGGTTGTTTAAGTACACATTTTGGTTTTTTATTTATATTTTTTTAAGGGTTTCCTTGTCGTACAGTGAAGCCAAGCAGAGTTATAAACTCTTAACATCCACTTTTTACAGCTTGAGACCTTTTGGTTGCCAGAAGAATATCTCTGTAATAGACTGGCGCCGTGTCCGGGTATATCCTGCGTCTCACTGCATGCCAGCTGGGACAGGCTCCAGCCAGTGGTTAAGATAATGGATGGATGGATATGGGAGAACAAATCTGTAGCTAAACGTGGATCTTATGTGTTTTCATGTCCAGCCAGTTTAGACATGGATGAGTATTTTTTGTGTGAGCTGTTCACCAAGTTGGAGCAGGTATGTGTAACTGGCTTAATCCATCAGTTATTTTCCTTTTCTTCACATCTTTTTTTTTTTTAAAGAGGACTCACTGAGAAAAAACCTAATGTTTTGTACATCTTCACCACTAATGACGAAGAAAATAAATTCACACTTTTGCACCAGTCGTCCCAGATATGCGAGCCTCAAGTGGGCAAATTTGCACTCTTAACATGATCTTGGGTAACTGTCAAAACAGAAGGGACAGAAGCGAGCACCGTGGTTTTCACCTTTGCCTGTTAGATCGTGTTAATTTGATGACTGATAGTGAGAGTGGTGCTTAAAAAAAGATGGGGGCACTCTTTTTTTTTTAGAAAATGTGAGAGAACTCAATTTCTAAAAGAACTAAAAGGATGAGTCGGTGCACTCATGCACATTTCAGGTTCTTTAACGGCAAATGTATTGAGTGTCAAAGTGTCTAATTTTTAAAAAATGCCACAAAATCCAGGACTGAGTGAGCAGCGTCACTGCATCTAATCAGGTTAAAGTTTATTCAGACCTTATTTTGATTACAGCTTAAGCAATGATTTCTCTTAACTGTAGATAATGTGAAAGATGTAATGCAAGCGGTGTTAATAGGAAAACTTTATTCATCAACCTTATTAAAACAAACATGTCATAAAAGAGTAACTTTATCATATTCACATCCTGTGAAGGATAGGTTCGCCCACAGTTTATGGTATGTATTTATGGTATGTAGATTTATACTAGCTAGATTTCTAGTTGGAAATGCAAATTATTCATTTATTTATATGTAAAATAGCAACATCTCTTTCCAGATTGTTCCTAGTTGCTTTGTTTTTTTTTCCTGACACTACTTTCTAGCAAAATATTAGAATCTATTTAAACTGCCCTCTGTGAGGTTTGGATTATCAGACCAGCACGGGAAGAAATTAGGCTGGTTTACATTAATAAATGCAATTTTTCAATGTTCAGAGCATCACAACCAAGCTTCCATTTTCCTGCATTGAGTTTAAGAGAAGGAGATGCAGTAAACCTACCCTTTAAGCATTCATCAGAACCAAACATATTAAACACTCACATAGTTTAATGTACTTATTGTAGATTATACAAATATACCCCAAAACAAATCTGACGTAAAGGCAATTTTTTTTTCAAAATTAAATGCACTAAGGTGTAACAGGCCTCTATTGATCCGATTTCAAGCAGCCACAAAAAAATGGTTAAAATCACGAGATTCCACGCAAAACGAGCTCATCAGGGATAGAAGCGTTAATAATTGAAGTGCGGCATGACGTCTGTCATTTGCAGAGATTGCTGGATGAAATCTTTCTTCAAGATTTGCTTCACTTTTGTTTTTCATCTGGAAAAAGAGATGAAAACAGCAAACAACAAAGTGATCATGATGATGATGAATCCAGTGAAAAATCTCACAAATGAAAAATCATCAAAAACAAAGAAACTAATCTGAAGCGCTCACCATCCATGTCGTATGTCTTCTGCATCAGCCTGGGTGCAACCATCATGCGACGAGGAAATGCAGCTAAAGTTAACAGGAAAAAAACCCATCTGGTGTCATTCACAACAGCCTCACCAAAACTACACATGTAAGAAAAGATCCTTTAATCTGTGTCCTCTACCTCTCTGGCACTCGGGACGGCCACGCATGGTGGTTCCCTCGATGGGATGGCCCTCGCTATCCACGCACCAGCAGTAGCCGGTGGCGTGCCAGCACTGCATTGGCTTGTAGCGGCCCTGCTCGTCACACTGGGGCTTGTATGAACCAATCTTGCTGGGTCCGGGTGCTGCCTCCACCTGGCATTTGGTCTTGATGGTAGTGGCTGAGCGGAGAATATTCAGACATTCATTTTGGTTTTATTTACCAGTTAAAAATTAAAAAGTCGTTAATAAAGACTGTAAAAAAAAGACATTTTGTTGAGAGTTTAATGGGAATACAGATCTCAGATAGCTTAGCACAGCTCACAAACATGAAACACGCATGAACAACATCCAATAATTTTTCAACATTTTGTATTTCTTTCTTTTTTTTAATATAAATCTCTAAAAAAAATGACTTAAATGCCAAACTAGTGCATACTAGTAAAACAGGAAAATCTGTATTTGCTGTTATAGCAACTATTTGGGTAATAAAACACTTAAAAGTGAAGGAAAGAAAAGTTGAGCTAACCTGACTGAGGTGTGGGGGTTGCAGGCTGCTGCTGGGCCATGTTGAAGATAAGCCAGTAGCGCATCCAGGTCTCAAAGCTCTACAATACAGAAAGTGTTAGATAAGCATGGCTAAAAGGACAGTCGCCATTTTTCATTTCTATTTTAGCTACGTTAGCAATGTGATCACTGCGTGTGACGCTTCACCTTCCACTCGCTATCGTTCATCTGCTGCTTCAGGGTTTGCAGGTTGGCCAGGAAGGTCTCGTTGAACTGAGGCAGCTCGGAGTCCTGTTCAGAGCACGTTCGAGAGCTTACCGTCAGCAACACATCAACACGCAGGTAAGGAATGTGAGGCTAGACAGTGTTTGCAACCTACCTGCATGAGATCCATCAGCTGTTTCTCCACACTGACAATGGCAGTGTTCTGCAGTTTCTGGAGGAAGGGAGCATTCAAGTTGAAATTAATTATTCAACTTTTAAATCCAAGCATTAGCAATTAATTTGAAGCCTTAAATGAATCCCAGCTGCACGCAAATATGAACTTTTTCCCAGAAGATGGTGTGCACTTACAGTCAAGGGGGTCTTGGGTGCTGTGGAGTCCTCGGTGAAGTCCATGAGGAGGGGCAGGCTGTTCATGGGCATGGCCATCCTCACTGGAGCCACAGCTGAAAAAAAAAATTAAAAAGAAGAAAAAAAATCAGCGACAACAACAAAAAACTTAAATAAATGCAAGTACAAGAAAAAGTAGCTCTTTTTATGTCTAAATTATTAATGCTCAGCAGAAACAAATTGAAAAGTTGGACTACATAATAAATAGAGAATTAAAAAAGGAATGTGTTTTTGTTTCTTTGTTTAACAGTATCTCTCGAGACGCCTCTGTTTGAAATCTTGTTTTAATGCTATTAACATAAAAATATCACACAGTTAACCTTTTTCTCCCCATGAGTCACAATAAACTTTCCATTTCTCCATCCACCTTCAAACTCAGCTTCTGTAAAGTAAACTCTCACTTCCCTCCTCAGCGTTCCAGCCCGCGTCCGCCTGTCTAATTAAAACTATCACTCAAAATGACACATCCCCTTAGGGCTCTGTGTGGCCATTAAGGTTTTAGCGCTCGACTTTACCGTGAGATGAGCGGGTCAGCTGTTTGTTAATTCTGTCCGAGTTCTTCTGTAGAGTGTGGATCTGCTGCTTTTGGCTAAACACCGTGTAGGCAGTGAAGACCTGGCTGGCCACCAGCAGGCAAGCCAAGGTTGTCAGACCCGCAATTTTCAAGGCACGACTGTTGGAGCCTCTGTAAGAAATAGAAAAGTATGTGTCACTAAAAGGTTGGAGGTAAATCAGGAGGTTTGGGGGAAGAAATGAAGGACATAAAAAATGGTAAAACAAAACATGGGATTCCAATAAAAAAATTCTTGGTATGAAAGTGACGTGAGGGGATTTCTATAAGTGTGTGACATTTTTAAGGCCTGGGTGAGTCATTTGGATTTTGGACAGTCCACACACAAAAATACAATAACAAAAAAAAGGAAAGCCACAGTTTCCTTTAGTCAAACCTGTAGATGATGAAAAATGATCATGATTAGTGTGTAAAATGTTAATTTACCGCACATTACGGGATGTAAAGGAAGGGACAAATCTGTGAAGAAAACAAGGAGGGGGAGGGGGGGGATTGGCCTTTGTCTCTCCTTTGTTTGCCGTTGAATTTCCTTAAGATTTATTTTCTTTTGTTCCTTTTTTTAATTTGAATCTTTAAAGATATTTGTTTGGTTTTTCAGTGTGGGGGGCAGGAGTTGAAAATGGGTAGGATATGTTGGGGAGGAGAGATATAACACACAGCTGTGATCCAGCTGTCTGGGAATCAAATCAGTAAACCATTAAAAAAACAATTATTTTCCATCATGTAAAGAGCAGCAAATCTGGAAAATATATAATTTTTTAAAAAAAAGTTAGATTAGATAAAAAAAAGAGTGATCTCAGATCTAATTACGGCTCCTTCTTTTATTTCAGCCAATAGAATGTGAGTATCACTAGTTACTAGGCAGATACATTCTTCTGGCTTCAGCAGGAAGTCATATTCAACTATGATTCAAGTTCAACTTGCAAATTAAACAAAGGTAGATAGGTGTAAAATGATTTTTCTCAAATACAAACGTATAAGGACAATGTTACTTTTTCATTATTGCTGGAAAACATTAAAAGTGAAAGTCAGAAAGTCATATGTTTACATATCCGCTTTTTAAATTGCGACATTAGTCTGTTCGATGCAATTTATTTTTTTATTTGTTTATCATAAATTCATGTATACCGCCAATATAATCTGTGTCGTAAAGGAAAATATAAAGTTTGTTTATCTATTATTTCCAATCAACAGTCCACACAAAACGTTTATTCATAAATCAGATTCTAATCGATTATTAAGTTGTAATTCTTGTAGACTGTATTTATTTCTAACTTGAATTGTTCCCAAAAAAAGGCATTTTCTTTTCTCTATTAGCCAATAACAACTGCTGCGTCACCAGTTACTAGGCAGACGCCTTGTCCTGGCTGAAAGGGGAAGTGCGGTTCAGTGAAATTAAGAAGTAAAACGAAATGTTTTAAAAGCATTATTTGTTGTAAACATGAATACATACATAAATAATATTATAATATATAATTATAAAAGATAAAAACGAAATAATTTTACTGCTCTTTTAACTAAAAAGGAATAAGTGCAAATCTGAAACAGATGGGCCTACCTTCAAAGTTAAATGTCATAAAATGTATCTTTGCTATTGCTAAATGAAATTAAAGGAAATGTGATACTGCTGCATGTAAGCAACTAACCTTTGGTGAAAAACTTCAGTTTTTTTAATTTATTCTGCTCTATCTGTGTGAGCCAATTTAAAAAGGTGCACTTTATTGAAAATAATAATAATTTTTAAAGATACAGCAAAAACAGCTGCTATGGATAAAGTACACTCTTCTCACCCTCTTGGTGCTGCAAGGGGAAGAAGCGTCTCCTCACTGCCTGCCAGGTTTCCCCTGGCCAGGGGTGCATCGTCTGGAGAGTGGGCCATCTGTGTTAGGAGTTCTTTCCGTTCCTTCAAGCAACAGACTGAACAATGAACAACACGTCTAGAGCATAAATTGCCTACAAAATGAGGAAAAGAAAACCAGACGGGTTCCACAGAAAGCCTCTCTATTACAAAAAAAAAGAACAAGAAGTTGTGGGACGGATCACTAGCGCCAGCTCTGATTGGCTGATTTAATAGCATCATCTGTTGACAGAGGCAGACAGCAGCGACATAAGCGACGGTTTAAGATCTAGAATTTACCATTATTGTTTGATAGTATAGTATTTTCAGTTGCCTCTGCTAATTCTAGCAAGTAAACATTAATTATTTGTAAATATAGATAATGCTGCTAGTAATAATACTACAGTAGTTTATTAGATGACTGAATTACTACATCAATGAAAATACATACTTTAGGTTTCATTACTAAATACTGCACATTATGACATTTAGGTAGTTGTATTAGTAAATAAAATACATGTTATATAATTGAAAATAATATAATAATATTCCCATAATTACAAATAAAGGCTAATATTACTATTATAGCTTAAAGAATAAAGAAACAGTGAATCAAATCATAGTAATATGCAGTGTTCTTTTAAAACAAAGTTTTAGACATTACAATTACAACAATGTTAAGGGAAATGTGGTGAGTACATTTGTCTACTTTTTATGTTGGCCTCTTTTAGGAATAAAATGAGACTTCTTTGTACACTTTAAGGTGTTTTCCCCAATGAGGAAACGAAAAGAAGAAATATGAATTACTTGTAAATCTGGTGGACTTTAGAGTAAAAGACTTATGTAAGTAAGTAAAAGTTTTTACTTAATAAAAGTTAGTGCTGAATGTGCTATCAAGGGATTTGGTTTGTCTGCTTCACGTCTCCATAAAGTGAAACAAAAAGAAAAACAGTTTGTTTTTCAATCCAAACCAGGAGACTGGGAAGCTTCTAGAAATCTCTGCATAATGGTCATCATCACGTTGAATGCTTTTAATTTACAGCTACCCCTAAAATAATAGTTCATACAAACTCCCACCTGTGGACTGTAATATATTTAAGGACTTATTTAGGACTGCAAAATGTACTACCACTCGTTAACATTTTTACAGTCACATGACCTCGGTGCTTATAAGGCTGGGTCAAAATTAGGAGGTCTTTAAGCCAACTAATTATAACCAAAAGATTTTTAGGCTTCTTATACCCATAATAATATTTTCAGGGCTGAAAAACATATTTACGCTCTGTTAAAAACTGCATGCACTTCGTGTCACAATTTAACACTCAAGTCTTTATAATTCACTGGAAAAAAATACTTTCAAATGTACATTTTGGTTAAGAAAGAGTTAGTGGAGTGGAAGTAGAGTGGAAGTGAGCAGCTAGTTAAAACAAGCCAGCATCAGAAAGATGTCCTTTTATAGTAATGCAAAAAAGAAAGTACAGAGTACAGGCCACCTTTGGTAGCACTAACCGTCCGTTGATGTTTGCAGGTGTTAGTTTATGCACAGCTCTCTTGAGGTCCCACCCCAGCAATTCAATCAGATTGAGATCTGAACTTTGATTAGGACATTTCTTTTTTGCCATTCTGTTGTAGATTTGCTGCTGTGCTTGGGATCACTGCGATGTTGCATGACCTAGTTTTGTCCGAGCTTTAGCTGCCGGACAGATGGCCTCTCATTTGACTGGAATACTTCAGTATACAGAGGAGTTTATGGTTGACTCAGTAACTGTAGGTGACCAGGTATTGTGGCTCCAAACCAAGCCCAAATCCTCTTGCCAACTATGCTTGACAGCTGCTATGAGGTGTTTGTGCTAATATGCTACGTTTGCTTTTCACCAAATGTGACTCTGGTGAAACATTTCTACTTTGTCCTTTAGACAGACAAGACCGTTCAAAACAATCTTGTGGTTTGTTCAACTTTCCAAACTTAAGCTGTGGTGACATGTTCATTTTAGAGAGAAGAGGCTTTTGGCTGGCAAAACCTTAAACAAGCCATACTTGTTCAGTCTTTTTCCAATTATACCGTCATGAACATTTAACATGCTAACAGAGGCCTGAAGAGTCTGACATGTAGCTGTTGGCCTTTTGTTGTGTGCAGTTTCTGAGCATTGTACTGACTGACCTTTAGGGTGTCTTTGACGGGACTTTCACACCTGGGAAATTTGTAGTATTGTGTTACAAGACACAAACGAATGCTATAAAACCATCAAAACTGCTGTTCTAGAGGTGATCAGACTGTTTTCAAGCAATTAGCTTTTAGCTAGCAGCAACACAAAGCTGCTTACACTCCTTAATTCCTATGGATGGACTTCACAGGACTGCATCCAACCCTGGAAGAAACGTCCCTTTTCACAAGACTCTGTGAGCATTTTGACACTAGGCTCATCTTCTAATCTCAGGGGTGGATCTACAGGGAGGCAAAGGGGGGCAACTGACCCACTGCTGTAGATCCATGCTCCCCCCACCCCAATTTTCTGTCCCCAACTACTTTTCTCAACCTAATTGTCTGTTTTCTTAGAAGAGATCATGCAATTAATAATTTAAAGTGTTTTGTGGATATTTTGTTGACATATTCATATAAGGGATTTTCACAACCTTCACTGAAGAGGTATGTGCCACCCTGCCCTCTTGCCCCCACCCAAATGTAGAGTTTTCTAGATCCGCCACTGTCTAATCTTGTTTCCATATTCTTATATAATCATAGCATGAGGTAGGCTTTTGCATGACTTTATTAAATGAAAGAGCTGTTTATGTAAAACAAACAAACAAAAACAGCTGGAAGCCAAACAGCAAAGAAAGGAGAGGAAAAAAGATCCAACTACTGAAAAATACAGTGGTGTTTTATTTGCAAATTAAAAAGCACCGACAATATTAGTTACACTGTAAAAATTATTGACAACAATTACAAATCTTTATCATACAGTCCAGGAGATTAGTACCATCGTTGCTGTTATGTGTTATCATTTAATACTTTATATGGAGAGACTCAGTACCTTTGTACAACAGTTGGCAGTGAGAGGACATGAGAGGAAAGAATCTCAGCGACACACCTCTGCACAGTGAGGAGAAAAATAAAATAAAATAAAAATTTCCACACTCCCCCTCAGTAGAGCACTGACATTTCACACAATGGGCTGATGGAGAGTGTAAACCCAAACACATTCAATAATTTAGGTCTACAGAGGGTTTTCGCATTATTTACATTATAAAGTCACCGTCATGTGCATTGTTATAACATCAGAACATCGTACAAAACTATTGCAAGAAGAGCAGCTTTTTGTTACCTACGTTTGACATCTAGTTGCAGTGGTAACACCTTGACCGACAACCAAAATGTCTGAGCGGTCTCTCTGGGCGAACTGTTGGTTTGCCGGGTGACTTTACGTGTTTGTTCTGTTTTTAAATAAGCAGAGTCAGCTTTTAATCTCCCAAACGAAACCTTTTCTATTGAGTGACATGAAACAGAACATAAGAAAACATAAACAGCTGTGATTAAAAAAACAAAACAAAACAAACAAACAAAAAACAACAACAATGCTGACACCAGATTTTGAGATGCACAATCTTCTGAATCTTGTGGGACCAGAGTGTGGCGTTAACATACAGTAGCTAGCTTATGATCTTCTTCTTCACAGATTGTAGTAGGAACAATTTCGTGAGTGTGCTTTCCAGTAACCTTTTATCTTCAAACAATGTGCTTTCATCACCCGTCCTATGTTCCTGCTGTAGCCAATCAAATGGTTGTAAAACTGGCTACAGAGCATGCTAAGCTGAAAACAGTGTACGCAACTGTACTGTACATCTGGCCTATATGAAACCAATGGCGCTAAAGTGTTTAATTTTGGTACATTCTACAGCAATGCATTGCCATCCGCATTACAGAGACGTTAAAATCAAAGTAAAGAAAAAAAAACACTTTAAAAAAAAGAGCCATGAAAAGTCCATGTGGTAATAGTTTAAGGAAGATTCTTGTCCTGGCACTTGTAACGTGATAACTAGATTCTACCAAGGCCTATCAAATAAGGCTACAACATGCAGCCTAAGTCAAGACTTCAGACGTCCCATTCTCCCTTCATACAAACACGTGCATCAAAGGCATTTGGAACCAATGTCTCTCAGGCGATCGGGATATCATCCATTAAGCCTGCTTTAATGTGCTCCTTACGTGAAAATTCATTGGCGGGGACACAGGTGATGCTCTCCATCACCTGTGTCCCACAACTGAAATTTCAGACTTTATTCCCTTCCTCTGATTTCCAGGAAGAAGTTCATGTGATGATAAGTTTGATTGAGGAGAACGGCCATGTGATTATCAAACACCGACAATTCCTCGTGTGCGTCCTCTTGACTCTTCCCCGGTCTCTTCTTCAGTGCACACCGTTAAGGCTTCCATGTTCCTGGTTTGCCCACTGTTGCCTTATTTGGGAAGATCACAGCTGAGTCTTGAGTTGTATGCGGATGTCTCATCCTCAAATCTCAGTCAAAACAAATTGGGATCTTCAACATTTCAGGCCATGAGGCCAGTGAGCCCCAGCAGGGAATATTAGTGGTTCAGTATGAGGAGGTGTGGTTTTCCCCTGTGGTGCTGCTACCTGGTGTGGACCAGCTCTTCTCGGAGCCAGCTTGGTAGAGGCTGTCCCATCCTGTAGAGCAGCTTAGACAGCTCAATGTTATGATCCCTATAGTACTCCCTGAGGAACGCCTGGGACTGGAGAACGCAAAAATAGAGCAAATATTAAACTAAAATATAGCAATTAAAAAAAGATCATACTATAATGTGATAATTCTTCCTACCTCAGGGTCCATATCAGGGTACCTGCGTCCTTTACTCTTTCCTAAACACTTTGTCTTCCCCCCCTCCAGCAGCTGACACCAAAAACCTTTTTTAGGGTCGAACCTGGACGTAAAAAACACAAGAATACACTGAGAAATAAGAAACGACTATTTAGAATTTCAATTCTAATATTGAAAATCTAAAATCTCCCCCCAGTTACTGTGTTTCCGTCATATTTTCTTTGCTCATATGTCCACGTGCTGTTTTCTAGCGCGTGGACATATGAGCATGTTTGACGGCTCCACAAATAATCCCATTCCAATAAGCAACTTAAAGAAGTGTGATGTTCACACTTAGAACTTTCAGCATGTATTTTAGGAGGGTGGGAGAAATCTTTTTTTGAGCTGACAAACCTTCAAATTAACCATGAGACAAACACATTTTTAAAAGCCAAGTGATTTAGATTTTTTTTAATGTAATGATTTTTTAAATGTCTTAATTCTTTACTAGCGGGAGCTGTTGATAGCTAAGGTTTTTTAATAAGCTAATGACTCAAATCCCATCTTTGTATTTACATTTGAAGGCAGGAAAGCTATTAATGCAGCTGCAAGTTCATTTGTAAACTTGGCAGCTGAAAGCAACATGCTGGGATGAAGATACTTACGCTAAGATCTTGTGGTAGTTGATAATGTTAGTGAGGCCAAGAAACTTCTGGATTTTGTCCATGACTGAAGCAGGCTCGGTTTTCAGCATCTGTCCATCCAAAACTAACACCTGGGAAACAGTATGTGAACAGGAAGAGGATAGTTGGGTATGCAGAAAGCTATAAGACACTCTCAATGATGAGCAGAGCTGATAAAGGAGTTTTTAAGACTGATACCAGTTTATTTGCTCATTTAAGAATCAGGTTTATCGTCCGATATTTCCTTTCATATGACGCATAAACAGATTTCCATAAAGTTTGATATGCGTAGTTAATTATGAGTCTTTACTAGGATAATATGGCAATGAAATAAAAAACATATCTTATTTAAACATCACATGAAATTGTGCTTTACGATCTGCCCAACTCTGCTTGGACCAGCTGGTTGTTTGGCGTGTGGAAACATGTCACGGACAGGAAAGTTGTGTAGTTCCCTCTAGTGAGCAAACTATGAACACGAACACTATAAACATGGTTGAAGAGAGATCCTCCAGCCACTTCTTTATTTTTTAAATTCTAATTTCTCAATAGGACTAACATATTGGCCAATATATTAGTCAAGCTTTAGAAGTATTATTTATTATAAATGATCATATTTTAGACCTGCAAGTCTGAATATAATGATCTGTTAGCCAGAATCCACCAGAGCTGACTCTTATGGACGTTCTTGTTCAGTAATGACGCTCACAGTTAATCCCGACTCATTGTGCAGCTTAGAGATTTTGAGCAACAAGTGTTCACTTTGCTGTTGAGTGTCCCCAAAGAGCAGCTCTCTTTCTTCAAGGTCACCCGCATTTGAAACACTATGAGGAATACCAAAGAGAGAACAAGCCACCCTTACCACAAGTGATTTACCATACCTACATTTATACAACCTGAGTGTTAAATTCATTTAAATTCAACTATTAAATTAGTTGTATACTTTGTAATTGTCATGGTCCTGAGTCTGAGGACTCAGTGTTTTGTGTTTCCTTATGCTTTTGTTAATTCCGAGTGTGTTTTCTGTTGTGATTTTGCCATTTGTTAGGTTTTTGTTCTTTGCCTGCCTGATCCCACTTCTCTGCGTTCCCTCTGTCTGTCCATGGTGTTATTGTGTCTGCTCAGGAGTCTGCCTGTCAAGTTCAGTGTCCTGTCTGGTTCTCTGTGTCTGTTAGTTTCCTGTTTTATTCTGAAGGTTCATGTCTGATGTGAGTGTGTTCAGTTTACATTTCCCCTGTCCCGTCAGCTCAAATTCCTCCCAGCTGTGTTGCCCTCCTGTCTCTCATCCCCTGATTACTGGTGTGTGTATTTAAGCCCTGTGTGTTCTCCTGCCTGTTGCCGGTTTGTCTGTATTACTCAGTGTCAGTCTGTGTATCCACCGTGTCTTCTCCCTGCTGTTCATCGTCATCCTCCTCTGCTCGTTTTTCATTCAGGTTTGTGCTCTGTAGTTTAGTCGTTTCCCAGTTTAGTTTAGTTCGAGCCCCGTTTGCTGTTTGTTCACATTCTTTTGTGTTCAATAAATCACCTTCACTCCTCTACGACTGCCTGCGCTTGGATCCTCATTTATTCCACACGGCTCGCCTCGGCAGCCGTGACAGTAATTAGTTTAGCATTTTTATTCTTTGATTTTATTTCAGTTTAGTTTAAGTGTGTTTGCTTGTTTTAGTTTAAAGTTTTGCCAAATTAATAAATAATAGAAGGACAGAAATATTCAATTCTTCTGTATTCTTATTTTATTTTTGTTAGTGTTCAAAGTCCACAAAACCTTTTCAGGTAGTTTTCTTTATTTTTTTTCATAGTAGTGGTAAAGTTTTTTCACATCTAGCATTGTTTTAGTTTGTTATAATGACTTTGGGTGCATCTGCACATTTCCCCCCCACTAAACAAAGCATCCTCCCCTCGGTACCTGGCTGGAGTGGTAGAAATTAAGCCAGCGCTCCAGATGGATGGCATACCAGCCTGGCACCAGACAGCGATTCTGGAGGACCCGTAGTTTGACAGGAGCATCACGCCCTGCAGTGATGACGTCTTTGAAAGAATATTTCAATGCCACTGGGTCATCGTGGGCTCTTTGGTGCTGCATACAGACACAAAAGGTGAAGAGAGTATTTTAATTGGGATGAAATAATTCTCTAACTATAATACAGCAGCGTTTATTCAAAAGTTTGGAGATTAGTGGAGTAGCAGGTCACCAACCTGGTACCACGAGTAAGCTCTGTCTGCTGGGCTGATGAGGATGGTGATGATCTTGGCTTTGGGTAGGAGAGCTGCAGCCCTCTGAGCTGCCACCTCAGAGTCAAAGTAGTTAGCACTCTTCTCAAAGTAGTAGTCTGAGCTAGTATTGGAAGGCAGAGGGAAGTATTCCATATACCTAATGCATTAAAAAAACACAGCAAAAAAATTACAAGCAGCCAGAGTTGATCTGGTCCAATTTGCAACCTGCAGATAAGGATTATTTCTCTGTTCACTGTGTGGGTGATTGACCATGCACAACAGCTTGGCACCCGGAGTACAAAAAAACCATCTAACACTCTATAGTGTTATACAATGTTAATATTTGGACAGCCCACTCATAGAAATTTCCAGCCTGCCAAGTAAATTTTGTGTTGGATTGTTTTCAGATTGTCTGCAGTGGCGCGTGAAGCTTCACTTTAATGCTGCTCGAAGTCAATTAAACCTGCAGGAAACTCAAAACAGTGACATTTTTTTTTTTTTAGATGAATGGGTGTTAATTGCGTTGCTGGTCTTGCTCTCGGCAATGTCACAAATGAGTGGATTTGTTGTTGTGAGGTGGCGTCGTTTGATTTTTTTTTTTTTTTGCTTTTTACTAACAAAGTGAAAATAAATTGTTCACTGCCGTTGCCACTTTGTGTTTTTTTTTTTTTCTTTTGATTTCACTGCAAATGATCTAACCTGTGCTCCTACCTAAACATATGGGAGAATGTAACTCCAGATGCAGGTGCAGCAAAGTTGTGAAGCAACTGTGACTATAATTACAAGTGAAAACTGCCTTTTTCCACTCACAGTCCGGCGTATATGCCAACACGCCGAAGAGGGATGTTAAATTAAGAGCACTGTGAACAGTTGCTGTCAGTTGCTTCGATGCTGCAGCATCACACCAGACAAGGGGGGGTGGGGTGAAAAAATGTGAACATTAATTATATTATGGGGATATTTCTGACTCGTGAAGTGTTACTTCCCACTGCACAAAAAAGAGACGAGTGTAAAAATACATACCAGTCAATGCCTCTGTGGTAGTTATGCCCATTGAAGAACTGGATCTCCTCAAAAGTCTCCTTGCTGGGGTAGTTACTGGTCAGATCAGGGTGCATGCCAAGAAACAGGTAGAGGGCTGTTGTCCCTGAGTGAAGAACAGCACAGCAAGCGTCACTGACATGATGAAGATGGTGAGAGGAAGAAAGAGGAAGTCTCTAACAATATAATTAGAAAGCAGATTTAAGTGTAATGTAAAAGACATCTACAGTCAACCACGGTGACAACCTCTCATAAGATAACTTCTGCTTTTGAACTGAATGGCTGAATGTACTGAGTAAAGCTAAACATGTATATATTGTTTTTTCTGTATATGTCTGAAATAAAGATACAATAACAATGGCAATCGTCACATTTAATCACTTCTAGCTATGTCCTGTAGAGGGTGTTGAAGTACTGCTTCTCACCTGTCTTCTGAGGACCAATGACGAGCAGTTTGGGGAAGCGGTCACATGTTTTCTCTTTGGACCAGATGTCCTTGTGCCTTTTGTCCTCGCAAGGATCCTGTAGCCAACAGAAAACACATTGAAAAAACATCCAGTGTTACAAATTTTTAACAGATATGAGAGCAACCAAATGGTGAAGTGGCCATCATTAAGGTATTACGCACAGGCTTTGCTTGATTTATGACACGGCCTAACTTGGGAAAATCTAACTACACGTTGCAGTGTTGCAAATCTCAACAATTGCGATAGGCCTGTGCGGTGGTGATATATGGTGTATACTGACTACAGCAAGGATGATACCCCCGTAATGGGCTGTAATTGTATCTAGCCTGCTCATTAAGCTATGCAATAGCTGCCACTGTGAACATATGCTGTTTTTCTCATTTTCATAGCTCTAAGAATACGTGCGCAGACTTGGAGCAGGTTCTGGAATCGTCCCTCCTTTGTGAGTTTCAGTAAAATATAAAAAATAAGGAATATTACACTCAGTATGTTCTTTTCACCTGCCAGAGGGGATCTCTCTCAGATGGGAACAGGCTGAAGTACTTCTGAGCCAGCTGGACAGGCGGCAGGGTCTGCATTTTCAGGTTGGTCCATGTTTTGACAAACATGACCAGGCTTTTGAAGGTGTATAGGCCGAGGCGGTCGTTCCCATAGTTGGACAAATGGGTCATGAAGATGCTGATCTGCGAACGGAGAGGGAAACGTGGAGAGAGAGTTATAAAAGGGGAAGAAGACAAACAAAATATGGTCTGAACTGAAAACGTGGTAAACTGTGTACATTATGTAACTGTCTGTGATTATGTGAATTTGACAGGAAATAAAACAATTAGTTGATTAATTGATTAGTTCATGAACAGAAAATGACAAACATTTAGTGAGTCCAGCTTTTCAAGTGAGAAATGTCTGCCTATGTCAAACAAAAGCAAATCCTAACTCTGGTACATTATTATGAGCACACTTTGCCAACAGTACTACAGTACTGTGAAAAAGTCTTGAGCCACCTGTCTTTTAGAAAAATATTTTGCTTCCAAGTAGCCAGATTTCATTGCAAGGTTTTATGAAGGTCTTTCACTTTTTCTTACCATTATCAGAGGAATGACACTAAACACTGACCTATGAATCATTCAAGCACAAAAAGGCCCCGAACTCAAGTGATGAACCAGTCGAGCCTACACATAACATAAGGCAACTTAGCAGTTTTGAAGTGCATCTTCAGGCACTTTGTTACTTTGTGCAAAAATGTGCAAGATAAAAGAGTTTTACAGATGTAAAATAGTATTCTTGCAACACAAATGTGATTTCCAAAGAGCTATCGGCATACCTCACCACAGTGTACAGTGTGTTCTTTGAAAAACCCAAAGCAAAACATAACAAAACAGTTTAAGGAAACTAGATAACTGAAAGACAAAAGAAGAAGTGGTAAGCAAAAATGGTAAGCAAAATTACCCAAGAACTGAACTGAAAAAAGGTGACAAAAGGTCTTATAGGGTGATGAAGTGAAACATAATTTTTTTTAATTTCAAATCACTCTTGAGACGTACGGAGGGGGTCAGGAGCCCAACACAATGGAGACTCTGTCATGGTTCGAGGGGCTGGGCTCTTGTCAAAAGTGAACTATGAACACAGAAATGTATCGACAGATTTGGATCCACCATGTGATAGCATCCAGAAAGCATCTGATTGGCAACAGCTTCCCTTTTCAGCATGACAAGAAACGCAAACGAATGGACCAATGCAGTAAACGGTCAGAAAAACCAAAACAAAAAATGCAGCACTATCAGTCATGGATTGGTCCAGACCTCAATATTATTGAAACAGTGTGGGAACATCTTAACAAAGGACATAGCAAAACACAGCCAACACCCCAAAATGAGCTTTGAATGCCTTTCGAGAAGCCTGGAGAGCTTTTCCTGAAAACTACATAAAAAAAAAAGATGACAACAGAGCTTGCCTAACAATGTTTTGCCTGATGTGGTCAGTCTAAAATTTGACCTCGGCATGTTTTCAAATTGTACAAACTGTGGTTTTGCCCCGGATACTATTTTCCATTTATGCTTTACTGCATTTTCCTAGCAAAATATAAAGAAATGAGGGGTGGCTGGAGACTTTTGCACTACATTATTAAAAAAAAATAAACATATTAATCACAGATGAATGACTCTGACATTCATTACTATCACTATACAGTATAATAGACTTTAAATATTAGAGCATGCTGCCCCAGTTCTCAATAAGCCACTAAAACCTTCAGATGAACTTTTCCTAGATCACAGTTAATTATACGCAGTATGAGGGAAAAGGTTTCGAGCAAAAGAGGAAGTGGCAGTTTAAAAAAAGAAAAAAAAAATGTTGAAACAACACTTTATAATTATGTGACACAAACAAGTCTCACTTAAAAAGTAAAGCCTTGCAAAAATTATCTTCAGACCAGACTAACCCATTTATATCATCTCAAACAAAACATGCTGACAAACACAACGAATTCTCAACACTGTTTTTGCTCCAGCGACAGAAGCTTTCGCAGCAGAGTAAAAAAAAAGAAGAGTGCGCTTGATGCAGACATCCCTGTGTGACTCACCGACTAGTCGTTGTCCCGTCCCTCGTTTAAATTTCAATTTACACCATCAGTAAAACGGTTTTTCCAAGCTCGCAAGACTATCGAGGTGTTGTGCGGATGTGTAATTGACTCACGGGGTTCAGAAGAACAGTGAGGAAGAGCTCTCCACCATTGATGAGCTTGTCCAGCTCATTCGGACTGCCCGGGTAGTCTTTGTAGAAGATAGTGTGCGTGAAAAGACCACAGGTCTGTCTGGGCAGCACCTGCGACACGAACAAAAACACAAAGTCACCAAACCAAGAGCGAGGAAACAAAAAGGGAATGAAGTTACACACTCACGTTAAAAAAAAAAAAAAGGATCATGAGAAGTGCATTGTCACAAATAAATACACACCATCAGCCCTCCGCTGAGAGCAGAGCGAAGCTGTCAGTACTCCAAGCAGTTACCCCACACATTGTTTGCTTCCAATAACATTCATATTATGCAGCTCATCTAGCCAAAGCAAACCTCTTATTCACTCCGAGTCTATATGGAAATTCATGGAAATGCGTTTACAGTTTGGAGTGTCAGGGGAACTGAATATCAATCATCAGTAAGCAGTGGAGACTGTCCATTCAGACTGCTCTATCTCAAGGACAGGAACAGAACTGTGGGACCACACAGGCTGACTGAATGCCAGCACTACAAAGCAACTGGACTGAGGCTGCACTGCTTCTTATCAGCAGTGAAGGTCAACCTGGGAAAGAAATGGATAAGATCCCCCCTTCACCCACCCACCTTTTAAAACCTCCTGAATGTATTCTATTCATCTTTAATTTTGCTCTCTTCAGCTCCAACTCGGATCCGAAGCTGAATAAAGTCAAGTGTATTTTTCTTTCTGGTTTTTTTTTTTTGAGGAGGGAGTGCTGACATTTCAATGATTGCTGTATGCAGACACTCGCTATGCTGTTGCCAAGGATGTCAGTCTCCATTATGCTGCTGAGGCCTCCTAGGCAGCGCAACCTAGACAGGTGTCTCATGCAAGACTGGTTCACTTGACTACATTATCATTTGGCACTCGATAGGAAATACAACCAAGCAGGACTGGCCTTTTGCAGGACTCCTGATTCCAAAGATGGAAAATAATAACACTGTCATCACAATTATCATCTAGGAAAAGCGGGCATGCTGAGAGCAGTAGATGAGGGGCAAAAGAACAGGTTGAAAAGAGAGTTGGTCATAAGAGAGGAATAAATATAAAAGAACTGAAGGAGGAGGGGGGAGTGATAAAATATGTAAATGGTAGAAGAGCCCCCTGAAAGGGATTATTGGCTCAGAAGGTAATGGATGTTGAGAAGCCAAGTGGAGAGAAAGCTAACAAGCCAGAGGTAAGAAGATAACGAGGCTTTTTCGAATGCCTGGGTGTATGAAAAGTTGCCTTACACTGATGCCGCTATGGATGAAACCTCGCCGGAAGCGAGCAGGCTTTAGATGCGGATATTCTTCTGTGCTGGTCACCTTGATGCCCCACACCTTCTTCCAGGCGTCGTACAGCTGTATGTGCACAGGGTAAACGCCCGAGTGGTGAGGAGCCACCGCGTAGCCCATGTTAGTGGGGATCCCCTGCTCCTGGGGATGAAAAAGAAAACGAGGCGAGGTTTAACGACACCCGTCAAGCTCTGGGGATATTGAGAATTGTCTGAATTTGAAAAGGGGGTCTGCGTTTTCTTTGCTGTATTCACACTGACTGTATAAGCAGAAGGAATTCACAGGAAAACAATGCAGCGTTTGCAAATTTATGCAACTAATAACGGGCTCGCTGTTCTGTTGCTCATATTACACCATTTAAGAGCTCTACCAAACCTATAATTTCCCGTTGCTGCTGTGCAGTTAAATCTTAGACTTGTTTTTTAACTGTTAAAGGGGTCATAGAAGATGCGTCGCACGTGCTAACATTGTTAGTGGAGATGGAAATCATTCTTTTTTGAACAAGTTCATTTTTATGCGTCTCTGTTTGAGGAGTGAGTGAGCGAGCAGTGAGGAAGGAAAGAGCAGCCACAGCGAGATATTAGATAAGAGCCGAACGACGCCTCAGCAAGCCTACTTCCACAGCGTCTTCTTGCACAGAAGACATGCAGGTCCGAATCTTCACATCTGATTAAAATTGCACTAGTTTTGCATTCTTAATCAAAACAACGCAAGACTTTTTTTTGGCTACAGGCACAGATGCACCAGATGCCCTTTTGTATTACAGACAAAACAGCTGCTCGAAGCACGTGTGCCGCTAACTGAAGTGAGCTTCAATCTTTATTGTTTTTGTTTTTTTTTACTTGCGAAAACGTCACCAGCTCGTCCGAGACTGCCTATTTAAATCAAAACAGCAGGATATGCAAAAGATAAGGCCGATCACTGTGTTTACTCAAAACAGCGATGTGACCTTTACCCCTAAACTGACTCACCATGGCAAATTTCTTGTTGAGCAACATCTGCTCGGCCAGCACGGACTGGTTATGAAATAGATGGGGCTGCATGTGGCTCCACATGTGAGGAAACCACCAGAAATCCTTCACATAGGAAAGCAGCAGGTCATCTCCCAGGTCCTCCTCATCAGATCCTGGACATAAGAGAGAATAGCATGGGAAAGGAAGAGGGGGAGATGGAGGGAGATGAACGGGGTTAGCGCAAAAATGAGGGGCGGTGGGTTATGAGGAAATTGAAGATATAAAAATGGGAGATGACAATGAAGAGGCAAAGGTAAAATGGAGCCAGTGATGACAGGGAGAGGAAATGAAAGTCAGCGAGGCAAAGGGAGAGACAGAGTTCAAATATTAGAAGGAAGCATTTGAGAAATGAGAAGCAGGAAATGGACAAAGTCAGGGCATGACAGAGAGGACGGAGAGGAGAAGCAAAATTAAAGAATATGAATCACGACTTCACCAGCTTGAAGTTTTATTTATTTTAGTTTATCTCAGCAACTGGCAAAAGTTCTCGTCGGGTTGCATCTCACCAGCGTGAAAGAATTTCCCTGAGAAGCCCAGATTGAAGGTGAAGTTGGGCACATGGGTGCGCAGCTCCCTCTGTGTCTCCAGCAGGGCCTGAAACAGTAGGAGGAGAGGAGGGTGAGTCAATACACGATGCGCTGAAACCGGTGCACGAGCGCATTAATGAGAAAGCGCGAACACCCGTTCGGTCTTGTGCCCACATGCATATTTTATTCTGAAAGTTTCTTTCGGTAAACATCCAGCATCCACTCCCAGTTGCCTCACTCCTCTCCTCCATTCTGTTTGATATTTTGCTCTCCTCTGATTCGGGTGTTTGTTTCATTTGATCTCCGTGCTGGATGAGGCTCCCAGTGCACACCCCCTCTCTCTCGCTCAGATTTCTCCATCATGTCAGGGTGTGATGCGTCTCTAAAAGCTAGCTGCTGCGCTGCCAGTGAGGGGGGCCTTGATGCCTCTTCCATAACTTTTTCTCATACCCTCTGCCTCCACATGTGAGGCGAGCCTGTTCTGCTCTGAGGGGACGCAAGCAAGGAGCTTTTCAACATTCTTTGTATGTCTCTGGGCCCCTGAAATATTCATTGCTGTGGAGCTTCTGTGACAGTGTGAGCAGTGGGGCCTGTCAGCTTTGAGCAGCCTACTGGGACGAATGCATTCAAAAGGAGTAGAGGAGTGAGAAGAAGGGGTTTCTGTATGACTGGCAGAGGGTAGAACATGCTATGTGTGAGGCAATTTTTTATTTTCCAGCAAAGGGCTGTTGAAAAACAGCGGCTGATGAATAGATAAGTGGGTTCAGTTACTATTCTGAGAAGATGTTTTTCTTTTTTTAGCACTTTGAAACACAAACTCACCTTTACGTCAGGCACCTTCATGCGGGTACCCTCTCTGCCCACAAAGATGTCATCTATATCCACAAGGATGTAGCGCTCCAGAGAAAGCGAGAGCCGCTTCCCTGTCAAAAAGGCCACAGCGTCCACAAACACCAGCTTGTGCAGCCAGAAAGCCAGATTGTTGCCGAACAAGACCCTCTGGATGCCGTCGTGAAGCCCCAGGTCCTGCACCACTGACGGCAACAGAGCAGCATTCTGCCCCATCGACGCGACGCTCTCAGCTGATTGGGTCTTGGCCAGTAACACGGGTTCGTATGTCGAGTGGTTGGACTGAAAGACGGTCCAGTCATCTCCGGGGAGAGGACCTGGCAGCGGCTGCCCAGATCGAGTGATAAAGAGAAGCGGGGACTTGGGGTTGACCGTGCAGTCCTTCAGACCCAGGTTAGAGTGAAGAAAGAGGGGGAAGCCTTTCAGCTGTGCACTGAGCAGGCTGTTTTCATTGGCCTGGTCAACACAGAGAGACAGAGACGAGAGAGAAATCACACAGATTCATCATACACTGGAGTGATGAAGACAGAAATGCATTGGAAATAATTCCCCAATTTCTCCAGTCATGTGTGAAATAAGGAATGTCAGGCCTGCTCAAACGTGAAGGCATGAGGCAGCTTCTACCTGCTATGCTCAATCTGCTATGCCCTGAGATTGCAGTCAAAATGAATAACCTCCTGCTGTGTTCTCAAAGACTCTGAGACTGAGACTTCAGCAAAGGCTTAATGAAATTTCCCCGCCAAAACTTGCCATTCCCTGATTCTCTCTTACTTCATCTTGCACTTCAACATAACTCTTCCTTAGAATTTCAACACAGTGTTTGGATGTTAGTTAGAAACATTAACACTAATATACACTGTGCAGTGTCCACATGATGGTGATTATATCTAAAGAAACGTTCATTTGTTACACTCGTTTACCTCGAGGCTGCGGATGTAAATAAAGTGATTACCCATGTCATCTAATTGATTTTTCTTTTCATCACATCTTATCAGAAACTAATATGAAGAAAGTGATACAAATACTAATTACAAATTAGGCCTGCTCTGTGAGGTAGACTGCATTTAGAGCCTGTCTGACATTCGATTTTTGAGATTGACAAAATTACAAATATTTGGTGATTTAAAAGTCAGATTTTTTTTTTCTTTTAGATGCACAAAATATAAACGCCTTTCCCTAACGTTTGGTATGTGCAGTCATTTATGAGTCCCTATTAACAAACCATAAGGAAACCATTTAAATATAATCTTGTTTATGTCGTGGATTACTCGTTTACGCTCCGCCCGACTCTGCTCCAATCAGCCGTTTGCCGTTGTGTTCGTGGCCGATGCCGACAGGGCAGAAAACTTGGCCAACGTTTCAGTCAAGCTCGAATTTCATTGAAAAGGAGCATTTTATTCTCCGCAGACTACACGTGACAAAAAGTGTATTCGCTTGATTTGCTGTATGATTACTTACAGTCACTTCATGTTGCACAACTTAAGTCTTCCTTAGAAATACAAAACAGCGCGTGGGTGTTAGCGAGAAAAGTTGACACTAACACAAACTGCGTGGTGTCATGTCACTGTTTTTCCCATTCATGTGTGCAAACTATACGTTACATCTCTGATCATATTTAGTAGTTTTAAAAATCTAATATAAAACAAATCAGCTGATTTTCTTTAACCATTCGTTCATTCTGGCTTCTTTTCCCCCGCATCATTTAGAGTTAAATTACCCCGAGGCTGTAGTGTAGATAACAACTATTGCAATGCTTAACTATCTAATTGTATTTATTTTTCTTTGTATTTTATCTTATCAGCACCTAATATGTAGAAAAATGAACAAGCACACATGCAACATCAATTTCCTTTTCCATATATCAGGCGTGCTTTACGAAGGAGATGAAGCCTCACTAATACACAGGATTTTTATGATTTCCCTAACAGTTGTTAGATGTAGTTATTTATGAGTCTTTATTAATATGAGAAAACTATATCGATATATTGGGAAAATATCAGCCACTATATCAGTCGAAATATTTTATTTCATTTAAAAAAACAACTATTTTATTCTGCACAGACTACACATGACCAAAAACATACCATATCATGTTTGCTATACGGGAAATTCTACAGTGTGCAAAACTCTGGAGACATGCTACTCGTGTTCACGATCACGTGAACCCTGTAGAGTTTTAACTGTAAACAACACAGAGTTGTAAATCACAAATAATCCAAATAAACTTTGTAGGGCTACATGAAAAAAGTAGCCAAAGCTAATTACAGATGCAGAGCAGATGCAAGTCCACTGCTGTACAGCTGGAGTCTAATTAGAAGCAATGCATCTGCGTCTGTAGTGGACTTCATGTGTATGTAACAAACTCGCTGATATCCATCAAGGAAAGGCCAAAACGGGACAACGACATCAATCATGCAGATGTGTAAGTGTACTGGTTGCTTTCTCTTTCTCCTTGTGGTAAATTCTGCCAGGAAACCATGACCTGCCTAAAATTTCTTCTACATCTCTAGATCTTCTGTACATGGCTCAGAAATGGTGATTAAAACCATAACACCTTAGAAGAAAAAAAAAAAAAAGCTGGCCTTGGGCAAACATAAGCATCTACGGATTTACTGATCTAGAGGAAAAAGGAGAGAGCATGAGAGAAACACAGAGGGAGAAGGAGGCTGGGGAATGCATGTGTAGATTAAAACAAAGCAGAGAAATAAGACACTGAGGAAGAAAAGAGAAGAAGGCCAGATTGCAGAATAAAGAAAAACATTGATACAGAGAACATAAGAGAGACAGAAGACACTGCCGTGGGACAGAGTGATATTGAACCAGGCAGGTCTTTCCAACTCTGTGAATCCCATCTCCTTAGAGACGGTGGAGCCAGATGGACAGGGCAGAAGGTGTGAGTGAGAGAGGGGAGAGAAAGGGGGGAGGCAGAAGGAGTGTGGTGTTGTCCTAACCTTGAAGAAGCCAATGATGCCTACTCCATATTCCACACAGTATTTGTCCAGCAGCTCTCGGTTCCAGGCGTCCAAGTTGACATACTTGAGAATGTTCTCATAAATAACAAGTGTAAAACGCCCCTTTTCTTTGTCCGTCAATGTGGGCATGTCCCCTTTGCCAGGAGAGATTTCAGTCCGGTACCTGAATCGGCCAGACTCCAAAATGGCCACAATCTCCTGCCCCAGTTGAGAATATTGGCTTTCCACAAACACCAGGACAACAGGTTCTGTCCTTGTCCCTCCGGGATCTGCCCCAGGGCCCCCTGAGACAGGCCGCAAAGGCAGCAGTCGGGATGGAGTGACCCTTGGGTCATCGGTGTCGGCGGATGCTCCCTCGGCTCCGGACACACCCCCTCCTGATGGCTCCAGCTCCCGCTTGACGCCATATAGGAAGTAGGCTGAGATGAAGACGCTGACGGTGCAGAAGAGGAAGAGAAGTATCAGCGAGGTCTGCAGGGGGAGGAGACGGACCTGCCGACGGAGGCGGGTCACACATCCCAGCATCGTCTCACGCCACACCGCTCTGCCGCGCCGGCTCAGCAGCACACCTTGGGGGACAGTCTCTCTCTCGGTGTGGATAGAGGACAGCGAGCAGGGGATTCTCAGAGCAAGGTCAGCCTTGTTATGGAGCTAAATATAAGAAGCATTAAGATAGCAGCTGCAGGAGCTACTGGAGAAAGAAATGAGGCGGTTTTGGTTCTCCCTCATATTGCAGCACTGCTTATGTCACCATGGCAAACAAATAAGGGGCCTTGGACTGCTGGTACACACTTATGCCTCGCGGGGAGAGCTGGCAGGCCGAGTCACTGGTGGAGAAAGATGATGGAAGACTCCATCACCTGTCCATCATGTAAACCTGTCAAGCATGTCCTGGCTCGATTTTGCTCCACTCTTTTGATTGGAGAATAATCTCTTGAGGAAACAAAGGCCACGCAGGTCATCTCAACAGCATTCCCCCAGGATTAAATCTCCTGACCTAGAAAAACGGCAAGACAGAAGGAAATAGCGTTAAAATCTAACAGCACAAGCATCAGCTCCTATAGAACAAACAGCATATCACGTTCTTTTGTTGAGTGGGATTAGCCGTGTGTGGGAGATGTTGCATACTGGCAGTGCCAGCACTCCAAAAGTTCGCTCCAAAGTAGTCCTTGCATTCACCTACACAAAGTAAGAGCTGCCAGTTTTCCCCTACACACACACACACGCCTAACCCCTGTGTGTGCCACACAGAAACCATAATAACCAACACACACACACACACACACACACACACACACACACACACACACACACACACAAATCACCCGCTCACGCAGCCTCCACACAATCAATAGGCAAAATTTGAGTGACAAAGCTTCAGGGTGAGCCAATTCCCAGTTCAGCTCAGAATTGTGTGACTGCGTGCAAGTGAAGCCATCACCCATGGGGACATTCGCCTTCTATTTCTCCCAAATCCGCACAGTATCGGAACCAAAACGGAGAGAAGAAAGGAAAAACAAGCCGATGGAAGGGAAGCGATCCAAGAGCAGAGGAGTGGATGGGAGTGACAGACAGACCTGGCAACAAAAGGATCCTTTACTCTTGGAAAAAATCCCTTATCACACTCTATATACATTTCCATACCCTCAGCAGACCTAACATAATATACCAGCCCTTTAGGCAACCTCCATCAAGCCAAGTGTGAAAAGTAAAGCATCCAGCATGAGAATGGTATGAGCGAGTCACTTACAAAAACATCATTTCTCCATTAAGTCTCCTGGTGGAGAAATGAGATGGAGCATCATTACCTTTGCATGGAAAATGGTCTGACCATTAAGCGGGAAGAGCTATTGCAGCGTGCACACATCCCTGTGTAAAAACCATAGATGCTGCATTAGAGACACATACCCATCAACCCGAAGACATTAAACAGTGACCACGAAACCCAGCAAGACACAAAGGGGACATAAAGTAGATGTAATAATGCCATTAAAGGGTTTATTGGTAACCCGATAAACCTAGGTTTAATTAAAAGTAAGCAGTAACGTCAAAAATACACAAGTGGCCGCGCTGAGCTCGGCTCAAACGGAATTCCAAAGTGGAGAAAATCAAGTGCATCCGGTGTCCTTTTAATGAGAATCAAGGTCTGGCAAGTGTCTCTGCCCCGGCTATCCTTCCAGCTAAGCTTAACAGGATGCCTTAAATCTGCCTCCTGCAAGATCTGTGGAAGAAATTGCACGTCTTTTTTCTCTGAGTCGTGTCCAACTTCTCCCTTCATGGGGATGCAGAGACTAATGTAAAGAGAGGCCGTGAAAGAAAACAGTGGGTGTTCAGAGAATATATATCACAGCGGTGCAGACAAAAACCAACAGAGCTGGTTGCTTGAAGATCCCCGGGTACCTTGTTTGTTCCTTTCTTATGGAGCCAGGGTTCGTGCCACAGCATATCAAAGTATGATTAGCCACAGGAAGTGACTCCTGATGGAAACAGTGAAGCAGAGGACATGACCAGGGTGACAACTATTACCACTGTAAAGAAGCACAGTTTTCTTTTTAGGTTTCTCAGCGTCAAGCTGCTTCAGAAATCTACATGGCTCCAATAATGAGGACCAGAATATTAATCAACAAACCTTGTTCACTTGATCTTAAAATTGTATCACGATGATCGTGTTATGGTTTTATGGTCATGGGTTTGTTTTCCCAGCATTTGAGTTTTTGGACTTTCTAGTTTTGTTTATTTACTCGATATATATTGAGATCTCAGGGTTGTGTGAGGTTTAGATTATGTCTTGTATTCCTTCTCCTAGCGAATTTAGTCTAGTTCTCTTTTCCTCCCTCCCGTGTCAAGCCTCTTGCAATTAGTTTATTCATGTCTCGTGTATGATGTTTTCCTCATTAAGTCATCAGTTCCTGTTTTACTTTGAGAGTTTGTAGTCCTGGTGCTTTGTTTTTACTTTTGCTTCCTTTGTCTTGTTCACTGTGATTTGGTTTAACGGTGTCTCGTTCTCCGCAGCTGTTTCCACTCCCCCCAATCACCCTCCTGTGTAGATATACTTGCTGTCCCCCCTTGTCCTCTGTTGTAGTATCTTTTCACCTCACCACAGTGAGTTCCTAGTTTTAGATTACAGTAAGTTTATAGTTTTTCTCCTTTTAAATGCTGTATTTCGCCTTTTGGCATATGCTCACCTTATTTAGTTTAATGTACTATTGGACATTAAACTAAATAAGCAGCTAGCTCTAAGTTGTTTTGTTCAATGAGCATAGAGGCATGATTGCGAATACCGGCTGAAGTTCAAACTTACTATTGAAATGGAGAAGAAAGGTGATTTAAGTTACTTTAAATGTGGTATGGTTGTTGGTGCCAGATGGGCTGGTCTGAGTATTTCAGAAACTGCTGATCTACTGGAAATTTCCCTCACAACCATCGCTAGAGTTTACAGAGAATATATCCAGTGAGTGGCAGCTCTCTGGGAGAAAAATGCCATGATGCCAGAGGTCAGAGGAGAATGGCCAGGCTGCTGTGAGCTGATAAGATGGGAACAGCAACTTAAATAACTGCTTGTTACAACAAAGGTATGCAGAGGAAGATCGATGAATACACAACACATCCAACCTGGAAGCAGATGGGCGACAGCAGCAGAAGACCACAACGGGTATCAATCATATCAGACAAGAACAGAAAAAAATGAGTCTTGATTTCTGCAGCAGCATTCAGATTGTGGGGTCAGAATTTGGCATAAACAACATAAAAGCACGGATATATGCCTTGTATTGGTTCAGGCTGCTGATTGCAGTAAAAGTGTGGGATTATTTTCTTGGCAGTATTGTTGCCAACCATGTCCATCCCTTTATGCATAGTGAAGCAGTCTACTTATGGCTGCTTTAAGCAAGATAAGACACCATTTCACAAAGTTCAAATCATCTCAAACTGCTTTCTTGAACATGACAATGAGTTCACTGTACTGAAATGACCTCTACAATCACCAGATTGTCAATCCAATAAAGCACCTCTGGGATGTGGAGGAATCTACATTACATGATTTATACCGCGGACGTGCAGCTGACAATTCAGCAGCAGCTGTGTGATGCTGTCATGTCAATATGGACCAAAATCTCTGAGGACTGCTTCCAGTTTTAAAGGCAAAAGGGGGTCCAACGTGTACCTAATGAACTGGCCGGTGAGCGTATGTCAGCAGATATGCAGGAAGAAACATTGAAATACACAAGAATATTTGTGATAAGAGAAACAACAATGTAGATTTGACAACAAAGTAACACATTTATAGTGGTCTATTAAGAACATGGACACTAAAGATTTATTTTGTTCTGACGAATAGTCAAATGCCAAAAGATTTGTTTTTAAAACAGGAAGAAACAAAAAAGAGAAACAAATTAATTCTAACCGGTTTGGTTGAACGCTAATTAGTAAAATGTTTCCTCCCCAAATGATAAACCTTCTAATGATGTATATATTTTCAGATTTCTCCATTTCCAGCCATAGTGGCCTGCCCCAATCAGAGCTATATTAAAGTCAATTCCTGTTAATGTGTAATCAGACTGAAGACATGCTATCTTTGGCTGTGTCTGCAGGGAGACAATAAGCACTGCTGTGACTTTAATGACACTGTTAACATGGCTTGGAAGCAGATCTAATGGCAGCGCAGAAAGACTGAGCAGACTCACAGGAAACCACATTTCTTGCCCAAATCACAGTAGAGATGACCGCCTCCCAATGTTGACCTTCACACTGCGATGCAGTGAGCTACAGCTGAAGAAAGGAAGAAGGCAGAGAGAAAGAGAAGGCCTGAGAGGCGGAGTGAGAGAAGCAGACACAAATAAAGGGAAATCTCAAGGCCTTGAGTGCGAAGCAGTGAGGTCAGACCCGTTAAATAGAGAGTACAATACATTAGACCATGATGGGGCTGAAGATAAAGCACCTAAACCGAATAATGGCTAATGGATCTCAAAATGTCTGCATGCCCATCTCACCTAATGTGCTACGTATACCTTGGAAGAGGCCGAGATAGAGCTGGAAACGTGCCTGTGCTCCTTTCTTCAAAATAATAGATTCAAAAATGCAGAGGGAGAAAGCAAGGGGGACATGAATATTTCATGCTTTGCAGAAGCTGATGAGAGGTATAGCCAGCAGACATATTGGGTAAGGTGAAGAGAAGCCAAAAGGGTTCACAGACACCACGGTGTTCCAGTCTGCCAGAGAGTCAGAGTCCTAACTCATGCATAAAGGAGCGGCAGTAGGAGACTAACGCAGATCCCATAGCCAACCTTTTCATTCTTGGTGATGGAAAGAGCTCAGACCAAATATGAACTCTGTAATTGCACATGTGGACTAAAGCCTCCCTAAATAGAGGTGGCAGACCAGAGTAGTAAGAAAGGAAAAAATGAAAGACAATAGCAAATGAAAGGACAAGTTGATCAACTCGTCCAAGACAAGAGAAATTAGCGAGAGATTCATCCCAAAGTATAACCATCAATCCCGACGCTTCGAAAACTACAATTAAAGCACTTTGCTCATTATTTTAGAGCGGCTGATCAACACGAGGCGACAGAGTGAAATGTAGGCAGAAACACTAGCAGGTGACACCGGGGGCAGACTGATGCTTTTCCTCAGGGTGGGTGGTCACTTAAACCTGCTCGCTCTACATCGCTGGAAACAAGCCAGAGCCATAGTGCTAGATTAATGAGAGACAAAGAGGAGCAGGGGGATGGAGGCTAGTCCTCAGCTGTAACAACTCTCTGGAAAAACAACGCTACGGTCGACCATATGCGGCTTCACACGTCTCCCCCCCTTTTTTGCCCCCTCCCCTCCCTCCCCGACACTGCTGCTGCACTTCTTTTAAAGTGTGAATACGACTAAGTGTCTGAGGGATTTGTGAGGACAGTCGGTACATTAACACCAACAAACCAGTGTCAGACTCCGCCGTAGGTGATCCCTTGGACAAATAAACTTTTAAAGGAGATTTAGGCCCTCCACATCCCC